TTGTTTGTTCGTTTTAAAATGGAAAGACCTGAATGTGGCGACAGTGAATGGGGCCATCTACTGCTTGGCTGCAACCCACTGGGGCACCTCCCTCCACAGCCAGGCTGCAGGGTCTCCCTTCCCCACTTCACACTGTCCACCAGGCTGTCTACACAGCCCCTACCCATATCCTACTTTGCTATCCAGCCCTAGAATTAATTGTTTCAAGATTTGAAATGGTCCAGCCAACCGGAAGCCTCATGAGGGCAAGAACTGTGGCTGGCTGGCTGGCTTCTTTGTTGCTCTCTTTTAGATGCCTGCACAGTGCCTAGAGGGTGGCAGCATTCAATATTTCTGTATTTTGAATGAATGAATTAACAAATAGACAAGCCATTCTAAAAATAAACAGCCCAAGAGTCCAAACAGTTCTGTGGCGGAAACCTCTCCAAAAGGTTGGCAGCAGCAAAACCCTTAATGTTCACATCCTGAGACTCATCCTGTCTTAAGTAATCACAGGCAGAGAGATGTAGCAAGTGGAAGTTTGTTATTCATATCCCATATGGTTTTCAACAAGTCCCTTAATTTTCCTCTGCTGCCAATTCTCCTTTGGAGACTTGGGCAAAAATACTTCTCCATTCGAGGGACGAGCGCTGAGGCATCCCATGTTGCCTGGACAAGCTGTGCTATATGGACACGTGACCCAGCATTGTAAGGGCCGGTTTTATGTGGCCAAGTCAGCATGGGAAAATCTTAAGTGCACCTGGAAGCAGACTGGGGTGTAATTTCCAGAGATGGCTTATTGAATGACAGCTTCCCCCTCGGTCCAGTGAGAAATTTAATTTGCCGAGGACTCAACACAGGAAGCATTTGCCGATTAAAAATATGTCTAAACAGATGTTCTGCTTAGCCTGGAAGAGGGATCTTAATGCAACTGTCATTATTGGATTTTCTTGGATTACTACTATCTGGAACCAGAGTCCAAATAGAAGGATGTAATTATTTATTATGGCCAAGAGCTCTGCATTTCAAGAGGAGCTCAGGGGCATCTGAAAGGATTTAACACACTGGGGGTGCAGTGGGGTGGGGGGATGCAGGCCATTTAAATTCCCTGGCTCTGGGAGTGACATGTCCTCTGAAAGAATGAAGCAGCCATTGCTATTCAATATTTCATTTCCAGCTGAAGGCACAGCCATGCCATAAACAAGCCACGACTGACCGAACTTCTCAAGCATCTTTGCTGTAATTTTTACATTAGGCAAGTGGTAACTCACACACTAGAAGTAAACACCCTGAGTGTACAGATATCTGCAAAACTCTCACCCCACAGGTAACACACCCTGAGTGTACAGATATCTGCAAAACTCTCACCCCACAGGTAACGGCCAGAGCCACATCTTGCTGACCATTTGGAAGACTCAAGAGCAGTTCCTTGCTGAAAAGGAAGCTGTAAATTATCTTACACTGTGGCTCTCAAACCTGGGTGCACTTTAGAAACACTGAGAAAGCTGTTGGGGGAAAAAAAATTACAGCTATCTGCCCTTGCCCTGAAACTGTGACCCAACAGGCCTGGAGTCCAGGCACCTGCAGTTTTGAAAGCTCCTCTTGAGGACAAAGCTCAGTGGAGTTTGGGAACCATTGATAAAGCTCAAAGGCTGAGATTAAGAGTTTTAGGGGCAGTGAATTTAAGATAAATGTTCAAGATAAACACAGCCGTTGATTCCCAGTGTGGCTCTGCACAAACTTCCCCCCGAGCCTGACTACTTCCTGCAGCATGGCTGTGCGGTAAGCATGGAACCAGATGGAGACTGTCAATCTCTGAGGTGAAGAAGAGCTGTACAGAGCTTCGGAGATCGCCTGTAGATGGAACAAGTTAAAATGGGGGCCTGACGTTAGTCAGGCTCTGTAGGTGTACCTGGACACACAGATGTGACACGCAGGGATTCAGGTATGGAATGGCATTCTGGAATGCTGATGTCTGTGGGATCCTTGTTTTGGGGTGCAAACAGCTTCTACTTTTCTTCACATTGGAACAAAGGCTTTACAGTTTGGTCCCAAAAGGCAAAGGACCATATTCTCTTATGAATGTGGTTCTAGAAATCAGGCTCTACTCAGCTAGGCAAAGATGCATTTTAGCAGCAGTTGCGTGCGCACGCGCACACACACACACACACACACACACACACACACACACACACACACACATAGCATTACAGACTCGAGTATATGCTAAACCCTCAATTTCTGACAAGGGGCTGCTCTGATCAAGGCTTTATGGGAATGTTGAGTGAGTGGCCTAGAAATCCAGTGCAAAGCTGCAGGCACAAATTCCCACCTTCAGGACTAAAGGAAGCCACATAGTACCAGGAAAACAACCTCTGCTAGAACCAACCCAGAATTCCCCTTGGCTTCCCTTTTCTGCTAGGGTAGTCTCATCTGGATTTGTGGAAAACAGGTGGGTTGCAATTAAAGAGAGATCTAGGGCTGGCATTTCGTATCTTCAATTCAAATGAAAACAAGATGTGCCCCAGGCAGGCATCCAGCAGTGTCCTAGAGGGATGGGATGGGAAGGAGAGTGGGACAGACTTAACCCGCCTTTACTTCAACTTCGGGGTCTCGCTCCTCCCCTGGATTAAAGACCTACTTGTCTGCAGCTGTGATGTAGAGTACAGAGACTGACCTAGTCTTGACATTCATTGACTTTTTCAGATAAGTCAGGGTCATTTGAGGGGCAGCACTGTGGACCTAGCAGGCTTCAGGGTTGTATGAGAGAGAAGGGGAAAGTGTTATCTTCATCCTGCTTCAAAAACTCTAGCATCTGCACAGTGCTGGTCATGTATGCAGCCCAAGTAGACTCAGAATTTTAATGGGCTGCAGGAGGCTTATTCCTTCCTGTCCTCTGTGCAGCTGTGGAACAGCTGTGGAGTCTCAGTCCAGGGGTAGATGATGCACTCAGTGCTGGTATTGTCATTCCTAGAGGGGAAGGTGGGAAGAAAGAAGTGGATGGAAGCTGAACTGGGTGGTGCACACCTGGGATCCTAGCATTTGGGGAGGCAGAGGCAGGAGTATCCTGAGGTCAAGGCCAATCTAGTGAGACCATCTCCAAAACAAACAAACAAACAAACAAACAAACAAACAAAAAATGGAGAGCTGAGCTTCACTTAACCTTTGGGAATCTTGGTTATGCATGCTGTGGGATGTTCTGTATGCTGTGAATGTGTTGCTCTGATTGGTTGATAAATAAAAAGCTGATTGGCCAAGAGCCAGGCAAGAAGTATAGGTGGGATAATCAGACAAGGAGAACGCTGGTAAGAGGAAGGCTGAGTGAGAAGACACCAGCCTGCCATCCAGGTAGCAGCATGTAATGGCACACAGGTAAAGCCATGGAAAATGTGGCGACATATAGATTAACAGAAATGGGCTGAGTTGAAATGTATGAGCTAGACAGTGGTAGGCCTGAGCTAACGGCCAAGCAGTTTTATAATATAAGCCTCTCTCTCTCTCTCTCTCTCTCTCTCTCTCTCTCTCTCTCTCTCTGTGTGTGTGTGTGTGTGTGTGT